TTTAGAATGATTACATGGATTTTTCAAGCCTATAAAAACATATTCAATTCTTAGTTTAGCCGTGACCAAACTGGCCACTATTTTTCTAGCAGACTTTACGTTTCAAAATCTGGTATGGCTAAGTATTGTCCTGGCAAGTTTTGTTTTAACAACGCTGCCTAATGCTGCCCACCAATGCACCTAGACTCATAGACACCATTTGTTAGCTTTAGACCAAACAGAAACGGTTGCGTGCCGCCGAGCACTAAATTATTAACCCACGAAAGAACACAAGAAGCTGTCGTTAATCACTTTGAAACCAACGATTCTTTTGTTCAATTATCTTGGATAAAGTTTGCAGCGGGTTGAATAATGCATTCCGTGATGCATTCCGTTTTATGTGTTTATTTGCAAGGGGCTCATTGTTCAGTTTTTAAGACAAAAGAGAAATGTAAATTAATTACGATTCGACACACGATAACTTTTATTTGTGGCACAAACAATTCACTTTACATAACAATATCCAGCAAAGCATTATAGTGACATGCTTAAAAAAGGACAAAAGACCACTCGTATGTTTGAAACTGAAAAAAAAGTCATTTTATTAGATTTTCTTCTTTTTTTTTTTTTTTTTTTTTTTTTTTTTTTTTTTTGCTTGATATTTCTTTCGGTTTCTTTTTTTTTACGGACAGATTAAATTCGTAACAATTATGTAGCATGACAGGTCAACAACATATATAACACACACAACAATAACTTAGAGCTCATACAACAACTCTAACGACAATCAATCTTCCACATACAACAAACAACAAATGTTTCGTGTAACTCATGCTTTCTTCTTCTTCTTCTTCTAGGTTCATTATTTTAGTGCTGGAAGAGATTCCCCCAAACACAATTAAGTTAAGTATACGTGTTAACTTGTTAAGCTCCATTGAGGCCGTTGACTCCGATTTCAGCCTGCTTTTCTTTTTGGATTAGCTTTCATAGCCTTTGTCCAACCAAGAACAACCTACAACGCAGCAGTTGTTTGGTTTAGCAACAAGATATAATTTATACAACTACGCCTTTAATTGAAAACAATACAAGCGACAAACTACGTATCTGATACATTATTTTTTATGTCGAAAGATGTTTGCTGTGGCTGATGTTCAAATCACCAGATGTTTGCTATGATGATGTTTAAGCCACATGACGCTTCCTATGACTGATGTTTAAGCATTCTTCAGACATGGCTATGAAGATTAAACTGATGCTGAACAATACTTGAAAAAATGTGCCCAGTAAAACCCATGGTATTCTCATTTTGTGCCCTGTGGTGAACCCATATCAATGCCAGTGTATGTGTAACAATGTCCTTGGTGCCCTGAGTACTCCTAACAATGCCTTAGATGAATGTGTCTTATATCCTCTGTGATGCCCAGCTTATTATTACAATCCTTTGCTGAAACTATGAAAAGCATTAAATGTAACTGAAAAATCCTATTTACGTCTACATTTTGAATGTATCTGTTCGTAGTCGGTTCTTTGGGTTACCTAAAGGCCAACCCATCCTCTTTATCGTCTCACCCTCAACTGCTAATTAGCATTAAGTTAAACAGCGATCGCTTGAGAAAGTCTTCCAGCGAATTTCTCAGCGTTCAGCCTGTACGCCGATCAACATTAGCTCCGTTCGCTATAGTAACCAACATGTCGATTTACTGTTGTTTTTCACTTTTTATTAAAAAATTACAAGCCTCTACGTCCGCTGAAGTAAGTCAACATGATCCCATTAATAACGTTATTGGTTGTCTACTCCTTGTTGAGTGTCGCAGTGAGCGATTGGTGGATACCCTTGGTGTTCAGTCAGAATGTAATCCTTAACCCCCTTGGCGCTATCCTCTATCTTATTCACCAGGGGCGGTAATACCAGCTAGTACAGAGATATCAGATATGTGTTGGCTAAAGCAGTACTAACATTGCACATTAAAGCAGGTAGAGTGCACCACTTGACAGAGGCAACTAATCACGTATACATTTAGCATATTATTACAAATATCCTAATATATAATTCCCAATGTGCGCACTTCTCTCTCTCTCTCTCTCTCTCTCTGTCCGCAAAATATTTTCGCCGGACATCACGTCAGAAACGGCAGCGATATATGGAGAACTTTATACGGACTTTTGTTGAAAATAATATGTTAGATGTTTTAAATGTATAACCACAATTTTATTTAAAGAAGAAAAATAAAAATTAAAGGCGTATTCGAATGTAGAGAAACAATATTATTTATGCAACCGGAAAAGCATTAATAGATGTGAAAAAGAACGCATAAAACTGTGACGTCACTATTGCTTATACATTAACTAATGACGTCATCTGCCGTGTTTAGAATAAAAAGAAATGAGCTATTTCATTCAAATTTGATTTAGATCTACGTACACTATGAAATGTATACAATACAATTTTTCCGGCCTAAACTCATAAAATTTATTTTATTTATTTGGATTCTAGATCTAGATATTCTAGATTCATCTATTCAAATAATACATTTCTATACTAAAGTATTTCAGGCCTTAATTACTTTATTGAAATCTTTGTTTATCTATGCAATTTGCTAATCTCTATAATATATAAAGCAAAGTTGTCGGGTGCCCGATAGGGCACTTCCCAGCGCCGCAGGCGCTTCAAATTTGGCAGGATCTTGCCTTGGGGCGACAGAACACGGGGGCCGGTTGGCCGAAAAGTCTACGATGATGGGGTCAAAACTGACCTCGACTGACCGGCACCTTATATGAGCTATAAATCGAAAAAAAAAATGTCCACGGAGGAACCTCTTCATAACTCCTGAGGTCGTAGACCGACCCTCGGGCGAATTAATTAAGCATTCAAATTCTCAATGTTTTCGAAAGCCTAAGCAAAGCTGGGCAGCATGCCTAGTTATCAATGTTTATTCTCCGATTGGCTCTTTATCATCTGAGACACTGTAGTAGTACGGCTCAGGACTAGGTTGATATTTCCACGCCCTCAGTAAACGTGCTTGAGTCTTTAAGATACTCTTGTCTAACTTTACAATGGCGATAACTTGAGTGCCTAATTAAACTCAAAGGTGCTGCCCCCATAAATCTGAGTACCTAATTAAACTCAAAGGTGCTGCCCCCATAAACCTGAGTACCTAATTAAACTCAAAGGTGCTGCCCCCATAAACCTGAGTACCTAATTAAACTCAAAGGTGCTGCCACCATAAACCTGAGTACCTAATTAAACTCAAAGGTGCTGCCCCCATAAACCTGAGTACCTAATTAAACTCAAAGGTGCTGCCACCATAAATCTGAGTACCTAATTAAACTCAAAGGTGCTGCCCCCATAAACCTGAGTACCTAATTAAACTCAAAGGTGCTGCCCCCATAAATCTGAGTACCTAATTAAACTCAAAGGTGCTGCCCCCATAAACCTGAGTACCTAATTAAACTCAAAGGTGCTGCCCCCATAAATCTGAGTACCTAATTAAACTCAAAGGTGCTGCCCCCATAAACCTGAGTACCTAATTAAACTCAAGGGTGCTGCCCTTAAATACCATGATTTCAATGTTTCTGATATATAAAGGGATAATGTGGTCAGCACTATGCACAGGTAGCTATCAAATGTGGATTCGAAGACTTCTTTTGGCCTCCAGTGGGGGATTCGAACTCAAGACTATGGTGTTAGCAGTCGTGCTACCTACTTTGTTATACTAAACATTGAAAAATCTTCATTTTATTACAAACTAGCCGTCCCGGCCAGGCCCTGCTCTGGCTTCTGTGAAAAACCTTTCCGTTAAAGACCATTACCTGTGTGTTTAGAAATCATCATAAACCCGGCATTGCCCACCCAAACCACAACCAACCAAAACAACAAAACGCAAACATAACGCTAACACAATTAGAAATACAAACGAAAACAAAAACCTAACAACAAACCCAACCACAACCACAAACACCAATACAAACACAAAGAAAAAACAAACGAAAACAAAAACCTAACAACAAACCCAACCACAAACACCAATACCAAAAAAAAAACAACGAAAAAGCAAACGAAAACAAACCAAATCCAAACGCAAAACCAACCAAAAACACAAATACAAACCCAAACAAAAAAAACACAAACAAAAACGAAAAAAGAAAGAACAAAAACGAACCAAATCAAAACGCAACCACTAACGCAAACCCACCTAAACACAAAGAAAACACTAACGCGAACATAAACGCCCGGGGCAGAATCGCCTGTTTTAGCTTAATAAACGACTATAGTACCCCAACTTATTCATAGTTTTTGCACTCACTTAAACGAACGCGCCTGTTTCAATTTAATGAACAATTATAATACTCCAAGCTTATCCGTAAAATACCTAAAACATTTGCACTTGATCAATCCCCGCTAATTATGTAATTATTTTTTTCCCAACACCAAAACAAAGTAATTAAAAAGTAAATGCTTTTCAACTAATGCTATGGTTTTATAAAGGGAAGTAATTGTGTTTTGCCTAATTTATCAAAGGGAAGTAAGCGCTATAGGACTAAATAAAAACATAATTAGAATTTTTGTAAAAGATGATATTTTTTTAAAACTTGTGTTTAATGAACATGCCGACAATTATTACTATAATTTGAAAAATGAAAATGATTTCCCAACACTTGTAATAGTAATTTTTTAACTCATAAATTTAGACAACTGCGCACGATAATTGATCTAACACTTAAATCCGTAGAAATGCCAACGACAAACATGCGTTACAGAATTGAGCTTTATATATTAGATAAAATATTGTTTACTTCTATGATCGCTGGTATGGTAAATACAGCGCAGCATCAAATTTCGTTTTCTTTTTTTTATGTTAAAGTCTTGTTATAGTCAGGATAATGGACTTGGTTATGGACAAGTCTAGAACCAGCGATACAGCCAGTGTACATACCCTTTAACTAAACTAGGCTTACACATATTTTTAACATGAAAACATTGAGACGATAACAAAATAACTTTATTTTTTTAAAACACCTTATTTAGTATACTTTTATTTGGCTTGTACTGCTAATCACCTCATACTGAATTCACGGTTTACTCATTAAAATGTTGTTTGATGATGATATTAACCGTTCATATGTGACCGTAGACTGCTGATGGCATTAACCGTTCATATGTGCACGGAAAAGCTGATGGCATTAACCGTTCATATGTGACTGTAGACTGCTGATGGCATTAACCGTTCATATGTGACTGTAGACTGCTGATGGCATTAACCGTTCATATGTGACCGGAAATCGCTGGTGGCATTAACCGTTCATATGTGCACGGAAAAGCTGATGGCATTAACCATTCATATGTGCACGGAAACCGTTGCACGGCATGCGAGAAGCGATCAGTTTCTGGGGGCTGAATTCTCTATCTCCGTCACAGATGAGCCGTTTCTTGCAGCAGAAGGGGTAGGGCTTGTGGGTCGCGTACTCGAAGTAGCACCGTGGGTCATCCGGGATGCCAAGGTCAATGCCACAGCTGGAGAGCGGAAGTGTGGGGGTTTACAGAATACATTGGATAAAACTATCTAAAAGTAGAAGGTCTATATTCTTAATAAAGGTGTTGTAATTTACCATCTCATTAATTTAACATCTCATTAACATCTCATTTCAAAATATTCATATTAAGAACTTGATCCTTCAGGTTAAAGTTTTTAAGGATTTAATATTTCAGGTCAAACAAAATACCCCCTTAACTTAACACTGAAGCAAACTAAAATCAACCGTGACCACATATATTTCTAAGTTTATTAAAAAAAATCCTAATTAATGAACTAATTAATTACCCTTTGCAAGTCAAGCCAAGAAATCCACATGAGCAGACTTTACAATCTGACGTCTGCCAGACGTCTCCAAACTCGTAGCCTTTAGGGCATGGCACTGTCAATTTTCATATAACGTTATAAGCTAGGGCATGGCACTGTCAATGTTCATATAACGTTATAAGCTAGGACATGGCACTGTCAAATTTCATAGAACGTTATAAGCTAGGACATGGCACTGTCAATTTTCATAGAACGTTATAAGCTAGGGCATGGCACTGTCAATTTTCATAGAAGATTGTAAATTAGGGCATGGCACTATCAATTTTCGTAGAATATTATAAATTAGGGCATGGCACTGTCAATTTTCATAGAACGTTATAAATTAGGACGCTGTTGAGTTAATTTTTTTTAAGATTATAATCTAGGGCGTTGTTTAGTTAATTTTCATATAAAATTATAATCTAGGGCAATGTTTAGTTAATGTTGATACCAGATAATAATCTATGGCGTTGTTTTGTTAATTTTGATATAAGATTATGATCTAGAGCGCTGTTGAGTTAATTTTGATATAAGATTATAATCTAGAGCCCTGTTGGGTTAATTTTTATATAAGATTATAATCTAGGGCGCTGTTCATTTAATTTTGATATAAGATTATAATCTAGGGTGCTGTTCAGTTAATTTTGATATAAGATTATAATCTATGGTGCTGTTCAGTTAATTTTGATAGAAGAATATAATCGAAGTCTTGGTTCTCTATATTTTAATAGAAGATTATAATTCATGTTTTTAAAATGGCCATAACACAATTCTAAAATTGACTGCGCTTCGAAATAATAGTAGTAACATCTGTCAATGTTCAGCTCTATCGCAATTTGGTAAGTTATAAAAGTATTGTTAGACTTGAATGTTTGCAGGTGAAGCAGAGTTAACCTACGTATGTGACCTGACCTTGTAACAGGATTATGCGGTCAGTGTTGCTGAACGCTCTACCGCTTGACCACACCAACCCTTCTCCGTCACACGTCCTACGATATTCTATGTGACGGTGTGACTGGGGCGGTAGAGCGCTCGACTACTAACCCGGACTCGAGTTCGCAGCAATTTTCTGAGTTCACTCAGCTCTAATAAGTACTAGTCAGGGCATATATCTGACCACACTACTCCTTCATATGCCGTGCTCACAGAAACAAGTAAACTCTACTTTATCTGCCAGGTCCGAAAAATGGTAACAACAATATTTTAATACCATTTTTATCTGAAATAAGTTTGCATAGAATAAAATTTAAAGAGCTTTCATTTACCTGTGAAGTCTGACGTCACTGCAGGTACGAGGAGCCAAAACAAGATGAGGAGAACAACGACGATGTGGTAGATGCCGACTTGCATGTTGCTGCTTGTGGTGGGATCGTTTGAATGATGCTGCAGTCTTGTGTTGGTTGTCGGTTGTTGTTGTTGTTGTTGCTGTTGTTTTATTGTTGTTCTACTTCTACGCTAAAACTTCAAGTTAAATGTCAAACAGATGTTGATTGTCACACGTTGATGGTGGGTTGGTGGGTTGGTGGATTGGTAGGTTGGTGGGTTGGTGGGTTGATGGATTGGTGGGTTGGTGAGTTGGTAGGTTGGTGGGTTGATGGATTGGTGGGTTGGTGAGTTGGTAGGTTGGTGAGTTGGTAGGTTGGTGGGTTGGTGGGTTAGTGGGTTGATGGGTTGGTGGGTTTAT